ACTACAACCAATTATTCAGAGATAATTAAAGAATTTTTCTTTTCAGATTTGAATTTATTTTTTAATTGTATTTTTTTTTAATATTTATTTTTATATGGAATTATTAATGTTTTGCACCATGCACTGCAGTGCACCCTCTATAGCAAAATAACAAGTTAAGATTAGTTAGGGTTAGGGTTAGAGTTAGGGTTTGGGTTAGAGTTATGTAAAATTGCAAGAGGAGCATTTTTACTTAGTTACATGACAGGGTTTCTCTAGTAAAATTTTGAGATATAGCAAATTTTAAGTAAAGTTAGGATTAGTTAGGGTTAGGTTAGAGTTAGAGTTTAGGTTAGTGTTAGATAAAATTGTGATAAGAACATTTTTTGTTAGTTGCACAACAGGGTTACCCTAATAAAATTTTGAGATATAGCTAGGGGTGTACTGCAGTGCACGTGTACTATATTAAAAAACCCTTTTTATATAATTATTTTAATATTATCTAAAACTCAAACCCACACTAATACTAATCTCTACTCTAATCTCACATAACAATCTCTTATCTAACAATTATAGCATGCTATAACATTGGGCAAAATGTTAAAATAAAACAAAAAAGTAAAAAAATGATAAAACAACAATACTATAGAAAAAAAAAAATGAAGTACTACAATAAAACAGCAGTACAAAAAAATCAATGACATAATGAAATGACTATAAAATAAGAATCTTATTTACAATAAGCGATGGCAATTGCAACACCAAATCGACAATGAAATCAAGAATAAAATTGAAGACAATACTAATAGCAAAAAGAGATAACAATACAAATAACAAATGATCTAAAACTTAAACTTGCACTAATACTAACCTTAACAGCTAACACTAATTCTGCATTATAATCTAATCTTTACCATAATCTAACAATCACAGTGCTCTATAATACCTAGCAAGACATTAAGATAAAATGACAAAACAAAGAAGTGAAAAAATAGTAACACTATAAAAAAAGTAAAATGAAGCACTACAAATAAAATAGCAGTACAAAAAAATCAAAGACATAATAAAATAACAATAGAAGAAAAAAGTAAACTGCTACTAAAGAATGACAACTGCACTTTATCTACAATAAGTGATAACAATTGCAATACCAAACTAATAACAAAACCAAGAAGACAATACCAATAGTGAAAAGAGGTAACAATACAAATAACAAATAGTGATATTAAAAAAAAGTTTAAAAAGTGTATTTGTTGATCTATATTTTTTTTTGAAATAAAAAAGTGCCAATAATTCCATTCTAGACCAAAAATCAGTTGATAACATAACTCGGAAAATCTTATTTATATCCTGTATTTGTTTACAAATATTTTATATTATTACTAATATCGAAATCTAGATGAGTCTTGGCCTTTCTAGTTGGTTTAAACTGCAGATAAAAAACTAGGCTTGTTATTAGATATATATATATATTTTTTATTTACAAATTGCCAATTATATAGTGAACTTTATTAAAAGTTAAAATATTACAATTGTATTATGAATTACATCCATGTACTACTGTAAATCTTCCCTAGCCCAAATCCATATATTAATCTCGTGCTGTAGGACTACTATTGTCCAGACTACCCAAGCTGACAAATGCTTACTACAATCCTATTAGACAAGCCTCATGCATAGTTGCCTACTATATTAATATCATATCTAACAGAAGGGTGTAGTAGAAGCCCCCTAATTTCTTCAACATTCTACATATTTTCAGATTAGGTCTTTAGAGATATTACACCTTTAAACTGAAGTTAGTACTTGGGAGTTACCTCTACCTATCACCTGCCCTTATTTGGTTCACAACAACCTCAGTACTCACATTTGGACCATCTTCTTACTCAGATTCTTTATTGGTCTCTTCTTTACTTCTAGCTAGCAATCCGGAAGGGTTAGTTTGCCCAGGCTTTAGGTACTTGAAGAATGCTCTCCTCTTGGTTTATACTTTCAGAACGTATGTTCTTTTCCTCTGGTGTAACAACCTGGTGGTTCAGCTAGTGTGTCTTTCGCTAGCGGACCTGGTTGCTCGGTTCTCCAATTTCAGGCCCTAGTTTGAATTTAGCTCTCCTGTAGTACCATCAAAGATCACTACTTCCAAATTCAGGACTTGTCAAATGGGTTTTCGGTTATGCTGGTTCTTCAGATTTATTGTGCCAGTTCTTATTTCTAGATAGTGTAACTAAAGTTACAGATTTTAATTCTAGATCCAACCAATAAGCATAGCCATTAACCGAATACAAGCCTATTTTTCAAATATCGTCATCTGTGAGATTTGAACTCTAGACCTGCTACTTGAAGAGAGTAATGACTAGACCACTACACTAAGTTGCCACACCTCTTAATTAGATATTTTTAGTTAGTTTGAGTTCTTATTTTTAGCATTAGATTTATACAATAAATTTTTTTTTATTTGGTAAGAAATTTTGATTAAATTTAATGAAGATAAAAGCAAAATCTTTAGTGCTACAAAACAAAAATCAAAAATCACAACTAATCAAAAAGTTGACAACTAATTAATTAAAAAATTTTTAGCAACTCATATTAAAATCAAATAAAAATCAAACAAAAATTAAATAAAAATCAAATAATTAAAAAGTTGACAACTAATCAATTGCAAAGTTTTTAGCAATTTGTAGTATTAAAGATTTAATCATTAATATTAAAAATAAAATAAAATATATATATGAAAATATAAGTTATAAACGTTTAATTTTTTGTAATTTTAGAGTACAAATTGTATAAAAATCATGTACAGAAAGTTTAAGGTATAGTGATAGTAAAGTTAGCCAAAAAAGCTTATTACTGTATTTTCACATAATAATACTCATAAGTGTTATTTTGAATAATGGCCCGAATTAAGTTTAATTTGGGCCAAAATTTGAAATTACATTCCTGCATATTATTATGCAAAAATACAGTATATAAATAATAGGCTTTTGTGTAATAATTGGCAAATTTGTATAAAATTAATTATCAAAATAAAAAATATAAAAGGATAATTAGAATTTTTATAGCATAAAGTTAATTTAGATTAATTTAAAAGTGGACAGAAATTATACAAAAATCATATATAGTAGAAAGAACAAAAAAAAGACAAAAAAGTTATAAAGAGTGAGTAAAAAAGAGTTAAAATGTTTTAAAAAATAACTTTATTAATTTTAAAGCTACAGAGATGAAATATGGCTTGTTATGATATACAAAGTAAGTAAAACAAACTTTAATTATTGAAAAAAGAAATTTAGAATCAGGTTAAAGAGCAAATGGCAAAATTTTTTTAAAAAAATATTTTAGAACTTTACTCCATGAATATAAGGGCTATAAACTTGAAATTTGAATATTATGTATATTTTGATAAACTAGGCAAGTTATTTAAAAAGTAAAATTAGATTAGCATAGCAAAATTTTGTGTAAATACAGTTTTTTGTTAGACAGATTTTAAGTAAATTTTGTATTAATATTTGCAGAAAGAGTTGCTTTTGTATTAAACAAAGTTTGTTAGAATATAAAGATATAATTAATTAGTAAAATTTTGAGAATTATTATATTTTAAATAATTTTAGAGAGTTGTTATTGCCACCTCCCAATTTGTTAGTGCCACCCTCACATGATATATTGAAGATTCCAGTAAAAATAAAAATTTTAAAAACTTTGAGCAAAGATAGGCTTGAATTCTATGGATTCATAGAATTCAAATAAAAAAAAATTTATCAAATTTAGCCATGTGGTTGTCAAGTTATCTTCGCTCAAAATTAGAGAAAAATCAAAACACCTATCAAAGCAGGAATTGCACAAAATTTTCTCTAACTTTGAGCAAAAATATCTTGATAACCACCTGACCAAATTTGATAAATCTTTTTTTGTTTGAATTCTACAGGTATATAGAATTCAAATAAAAAAATTATTATTGAATTTAGTCAGGTGGTTACCAAGATATCTTTACTCAAAATTAGAGAAAACCCAAACTGTCTATCAAAATAGAAGCTATGCCAAATTTTTTTCTAAATTTGAGCAAAGATATCTCAATAACTATCTAACCAAATTTAATAAAACTTTTTATTAATCCCATGACAAAGCCATAGACATATAAGCTAGCAAAGTAAAATTTTTCAATGGTTCTATTCACCGGGCCATCACCTTAACCCAGTTCAGAACATTAGTGGAAAGTCAATGTAATTGAATTGATATTAGATATTTCAATTAGTGTTGTAAACCGAAATTAAAAATATTCGAAACTGTATGTTAAAAAAAATTTTTTTGCTCTTAGATTAGGATTAGGTCTTGCTAATAAATTAGGGTTGGATTTAGAGGACCATAGTTAACTAAAATTTTGCTAGTAGGTAAAAGCAGTTTCATTACGTTATACTTTATCTACAAATTTGATTTGCTAGTAAATTGTAACTCTAATAATAGTAACACGAAATACACGTAATACTAAAACAAAATAATGTATATAAATATAAATAAAAAGTTAATAAGAAAATAAAATCCGATCAACCAATCTATTTTCATAATGGACTTTGAACTTTCAAGTTTATTATTTTTACCAGACTTATTCTTGATCAGAGATATATATGATATGTAAGTTGACTATATATGTCTCTGAATAGGGATAAGTCTAGTAAATAATAAACAATAGACTTGAAAACCAAAAGCCTGGTTTTACATTATATTTCTTTATTTGTTAAATTAGAATTTTTTCATTTTATTTATTAATAAATTAAAAATTAAAGTCAATAAGAAAATAAAATCCGATTAATCATCTATTTCCATATATGTGTATAATGGACTTTAGGCTTTTAAGTTTATTATTTATTATTTACCAGGCTCATCCTTTATCAGAGACATATATGATTTGTAAGTCGTTCAATAAATTCTAAAAAAAATATGATAGTGATTATATAGAAGGTTTTTTAATAGTAAAACAATTGGTAACTAAAGATTATATGCTTACATATCATATATGTCTCTGATTAGTGATGAGTCTGGTAAATATAAATAATAAACTTGAAAGCCAAGCCTGGTTTTCTCTTTTGGCGTCACATATATACACATACGTAGATGGAATAACAGATTAGATTTTTATTCTTTATTTATTAAACTAGCTTTATTTATTTAAATTAAAATTTTTTCGTGTAATTTTAAAAATTTATTAAATGTTAAAAATTTTTAAAGAATTTCAAGCTTTATTAAAATGAGGTCTATTTCTGATAATTCTCAAAAAAAGATTATAAATGATCCTATCCATGTAAAGCTTCTTTTTTACATTAAATGATTTAGAAAAAAAGGATTTCTGCGAATTTTTTTTACCTTATGTTTTAACGGGGGTATATTGAATTTGAAGATTGGGCGGTTCAATTTATTGGTACACCGCAATTTCAAAGGTTAAAAGAAATTAAACAATTAGGTGCTACCTATTTTGTTTTTCCTGGTGCAAGTCATAATCGCTTTGAACATAGCTTAGGTAAATGATAGATTTTTACTCACTTTGTTCTATGCAACTGATTGGATATGTAATAACATAAGATACTTTAGGAACAGCACATCTTGCTTATACATTTGCAAAAACATTAATGCAACAAGGCGCTGAAGGAACGGAAAATGATCTTAAATGTGTGACTTTGGCAGCTTTATGTCATGACCTAGGTGAGTTAAAATTTATTTACATATAACTGAATAATGACTGAAGATATTTGAATGATATTACGTAGGACATGGACCATTTAGTCACGTCTTCGAAGATGAAGTTGTACCAAGACTATAATGTACCAGAGAAATAATTATATCTTAATAACAGCTTCGCATCCAAAATAAATTTAAAATTAAAATAGCTGTTATATACACAAAAACTATGGATTTTTTGACATAATAGAGGTCTCGATAAAAAATGGAAGCACGAAAACGGGTCAGTAACTATGCTAGGTCATCTTATTGAAGAACTGAGAGAATCAGAATCGGTTTCTTTCAACCTAGAAACAGAAGATGAAAAATTCATCGAAGCGCTTATTTTAGGAGAATCAGTTGGATTGTATGTTGTTTTCATAATAAGTCATATTATTATCGTATTTGCACACATAAGCTTATATAGTTTGCTTAAAAATTAGTGATAGGCCCAAATATCTATTTGACATAGTCAATAATAAAAATAATTCTGTGGGTGTTGACAAATTTGATTATATTAGTCGAGATTGTTACAATTTGGGCATGAAATCTTTGTTTGACTCTTCTTGATTTATGCAATTCTCTTGCGTCATGGATAATGAGATCGCTTATAACCACAAGGAATGGTTTAACATTTATGAAATGTTTCATACGCGTTATTCATTACACAAGAGAGTGTATAACCATCGCGTTAGTATGTTATCTATGAACAAAGTTTACTCCTAATATTTTTTGTATTTTTAGTTGACAGAATAGTAACTAACCTTAATGTAGACAGAGCAATCAATTATATGATAGCAGATGCACTTGTGAAAGCTAATCCATACCTTAAAATCAAAGAGGCAATTGATAAACCTAAAGAATACGTATATCAAATTGAATGATTCTATTTTGAGTTTTATCGAACATTCGGAAGGCGATGTATTATTAACTAGATGTATCTATTGTATAATACATAAATGACGTGAATCAAATTAATGAATATTTCAATACTTGATTCTTAGGATTTGGAAGATTCAAAAAACATTATCAAGCGAATTAGACGGAGGGATCTATACAAATTTGTGGCTGAGTGTTTAATCTCGAAAGATCATAAAAAATTCGTTACGAAGGTATTATAATGCCTTAATATAGATATATACATTGTTCTACAGTATGATATTTACTATCCTTTTCACATCCTGTTTTTTTTTTCGGGAATCTTTAGAAAGATTTTTTGCCGAAGATAGATCCTTAAATAGTGACATAATTAATGATATGATTATCGAGTGGCTAGAATTAAATTACGGAAGAGGTGATAAAAATCCAGTGGAAAAGGTCACATTCTATGACAAGAATAATCGCAATGAAAGTTTGTAGCTTTTAATTTTGGTTTCAGCGAATACTTTAATACAATCTATTTTAAATAAACTTTGCACTTGTTTATAGCATTCAAGATTGCACGGGAGGACATAGGTTATCTTGTTCCAGAACAATTTGAAGAAATAGTACTGCGTATTTTTGTACGCGAATCCAATGAGGTAGTAAAATTTACGTATCCTTTTGTTATCATCACGAATGGTTATTAATCAATGAACTTATATATTATAAATAAGGAACAAATCCAGTTGATTAAAGATAGTTTTGGTAAGTTTTGTAAAATGCATGAGATTAATCCAAACCGGGGATAGAAAATCGTCAAAAAGTACGAAAGCACCACATCGCTTCATTTGAAGCTGAGTTTAATGATATGTGAGCTCTTATTTTATCGAATTAACATATACCAGCAGTTCAAATTTATATACGATCTTTATTTTACTTATAATTTATATAATTTAACAAGGCAATTGGAAATGTATTAAAAGTTTAAGATATATTGTATTTTTAAGTTTATTTTTTATATAGGCAATTAGTTTTAAACATTTATTATAAACATCTATGGTGGTTTTGCACAACCCCCTAGCATAACCACCACGATCAGTTACGTAATCACTGTTTAAATCTGATTAGAGATTTTATTTAACCGGATCTCGTGACCCGACAGCTTAATGACATATAAAAATTATTATATAAGAATTTAATATAA